CTCCCCCCTGCTCGTGTGCTCTCTCTCTCACGCTCTCTGTCTCTCAAATACATAAATAAAATCTTTGGGGGGAAAAAATATTAACAAGAGGCACTCTTTACTTTAGAAAACCAGAGTTTTCCATGCACAAAACAATGATTAACGAACCAATTAATTGTTCACTTAGCAGTCCATGACTGAGTGGCTCACTTTGAACCACCAAGTGTGGGGAACCCTAGGACAGTCACTGCCCCAGGAAACCCAGGGCCGAGGGGACCCTCATCCCAACGCTCCTTATTTATGTGGCAGGGGATGCTTTGGGTCTACGAAAACCCTCTGGGAGAACAGGCTTCCTTTCCCATTGGGAACTCCTCGGCACACAGAGCTTGACTGCAGAAGCTATCTGAAGTCAGGACCCCACAGGCCTATGGATGGAGAGACTGAAGTGCTTTGGACTCAGGGTGTCCCTTGGGCCCTCAGAGCTACGGGTCTGCTGTCCTGTGACCCGGGGCCTCACACCCGACATCTGAGCTCTCCTAAAGCAGGCACCAGAGGCCTAAGGAGGCTCTAAGCTCTGGCCAAGCAAAGAGAACCTCAGATCCTCTCCCTCCAAGGCAGAGGCCAAGCAGCCCTGGAACTCCAGGACCCTCTTCCTTCTGCTACACCTCTCATGTGTAGTTTTTAGGCAACAAAATGGGAAACAACAAGAGGACCCAGATGGCTTCTGCCGGCAGCCTCAGACTGATGTCGAACACGATCAAGGTGTGAAGCCAGGCGTGAGGGTGAGGTGGGAGCCCGGCGGCTAATCTGTCAGCAACTCAGACCATATGGTGCGTCCGCTCGTCCTCCCAACGTCTGCATCACATGCACGCACACAGGCATGCACGCACACACACACGTGCACACGTGCGCACATGAACACACATGTGCACATGTGAGCGCACAGGCACACACGTACACATGCACACAGGCGTGCACGCACACACGCATACATACGCACTTGCGAGGACACGCATACACACGCGTGCGCGTCGGCACACACACATACGCACGTGCACACGAGAGCATACACGTACACACGCGCATGAGCGCACGCGGGCACACATACATAGGCACGCGCGTGAGCTCGCACACACGCACACATGCACGCGCGCACTCACACGTTCACACCTTGCCCACCACTGTGAGCGACGCAGGGAAACCCAGCTAGCCAGTCCTTCAAGGGCCTGTCCAACGCGCAGCCCCCCAGCAGCCCCTTGCTCCCAGGTCACAGCCCCCTGGCACACAGCCCCTTCCAGCTTCCAGGGCTCATCTGAAGGCAACCACAGGTCTGGGACACTCATTCCTGCTCGCCGACCCTCCAACGGCTGGACTAACCCCACAGACGCAGGGGTACTCAGTCAGGCTGGGGCGGATTGGAACAGCCCTCTGTGTTTTCATTCTGCTTGATTGAAATAACACTGCATTAATTTAAGTGCAAATTTTAAAATGAAAGGGGGATGAAACAGGGGCAAAGCCCCCGTTCTCCCAAGAAAAGTGCCTTTGCTCCCGACTGCCTGGGCCCACGAGGGGAAAGGTGTTCGAGAGGCACAAGGCCAGCCTCAGCAATGCGGACAATGAAAAGGACACTGATTGCAAGTGTTATTCTCTCCTCTGTGAAGCTTGATACAAGCCTGAGAGCAAAAACATTTTAAGTCAAGGGGGAAAATTCTCCCTCATTTCGTTTTGAGGGTTTTCTTAAGTGACACTCGGGGAAGACAGAAAGTACCTGAGAACCTGAGACCAAAGCCTCCAACAAGAGCTGTGCGCTGGACAGTGGGCGGCCCCTGCCCCAGGGGCTCCCAGGGAGGACAGGTCCTGGGGTCTTCAGGGAGCACAGAGCCCACCTGGGGGGGACAGGACCTGCGACAGCCGTGCTCCGTCCTTCTGGGAAACACAGCATCTTTCCGGCTGACTAATCTCCAAATGTTGCTGGCTCCAAAGACCATTTTCCTGTAAACTCACACCACAAAATTCCTGTTAAAATTACATCGATAGACAACCCAATTCTGGTTTATTCGTGAGTGAGTCCACAAGGCCAGAGCAGAGGGTTGGCTCTAGAAGTCGGGGGGGGGGGGGGTTGGAGGAAGGGGCCCTACCCCTCTGAAGCCAACAAAAAACAAGGTCTGGGATGGGTCTTCCAGGGCCAGGACGGGAGCTGGGTTTACCTTTCCCGTATGCCTGAGTAACATGCAAGTCTGCCTGGCTGCCTGGTGCCCTGCCTGCCCCAGGATCAGGTGACCACTGACAGTCCCCACTGGCCTGGCAGATGTGGCTCGGCCCAGCGGGCCAGGCCAGCTTCCTGCCTCCCGGTCCGCTCCAGGCCCAGGCTGACCACGGTGTTCTGGTCACTCCAGGTCCCACCGTCCCCAGGCAGGCGGGGGTTGGGCAGCCCTAACCCTTGCTCACTCTTCACCCAGCAGACATGCCTCTTCGCGGAGTCCATCCAGGAGCTGCTCAGCCCCACCAGCCTGCCCACTGCCATCCGGGCTGTGGAGGGAGGCCCAGGGGGCACTTCTCGGCTACAGTGCTGGTCAATGCAAACCATCGAGCAGGTGTGGGCACCATCAGGAGCGTGGTTAGCCCAGCTCTGCATTACACACTCTCGCCTCCCCAACGAGAGTTAGCACAGATCCTCCCTGCCCCACACCACACACTCACACAGAGGCCCCCCGGGGGTCCTTATGGACCCATTCAGCGACCCCAGGCCAGAGGAGGATAATGGGGCCCAGAGGGGAGGGTCTGAGCCCTGGACAGCACCAGGGAGAGTGCCGTCCGCAGCAAGGATCCAAATGCCAGCCAAACCTGCACTGCCATAGGCCCGGGGAGGGTCTGAGTGCCCAGAGAGGGCCCCCATGGCAGCACACACTCCGCCAGCCTCTCCCTGATGCCTCTGGGCACTGACTGGTCTTCCCCAGAAACGCTGCTGTGACCCGCTGCCCCACCTTGCGAACCCAGCAGCTCGAAGCCCTGAAGTCTCTGCCCCCAGGCTCCCCGCCTTGGGCTCCAGCAGCACTCAGGGCGATGGGCGACAGCTGCCTTGCCCAGAATCTTCCAAGAGCACCCAGAGCATTGGCTCTGAATATTTGGGGCTGCCTCCAGACCTGCGGCCAATGCCTGAGGATCCCCCAGGCCCCCTGGGTTATAGCCAGAAGCAGCTCCCCTGCCCTAGTGATTTCCCAGGCCCACATCGGGGCCTGTGGTCCAAGGAAGTCAGAGCTCAGGTGTTTCCAGGATGGACAGGCCCCCCATGTCACTCACAGCTCCCGCTGAGCTCCCTCCATCCTTCAACACCCAGCGTGTGAGATCAGGGGTCACCCAGCTGCGGGGCCTCTGTCTCCAGCTCCAGGGCACAGACGAGGTCACAGAGCTGCCACCTCCTCTTTGCAAACAAAGTACCCTCTAACCCTGACCAACCCCGTCTGCACAGTGAGCAGCTCTGAGAAGACAGGCAGAGTCCTGCCCTATGGGTGACCCCTCCCCACCAGCACCACGAAACTCCAATCTCGGCTCCCCCACTCTTTTGTTTACCATTAATTAACGGGGCCATATGGAAGGACGTGATAATCACAGCCAAGGACCAATGGGAAGGGAGCCCTGGTGGCCAGGAACCTGGGCCTCTCCCCAGCGCCTGCCCAGCCCCAGGCAAGGACACCCACCCCCCCCCCCCCCACACACACACACCAGGCTGGAGGGAGGACTGGGCAAGCTCCCTCAGCATCACAAGGCGCAGGGTCCAAGCCTCCTACCCAGACTGAGGCTCACTTCCTCCAGGTCTGCCCCAACACTTCTCCTGTCTATTGTTCACTCAACCACTACCCTCAGAGACGTCCTCAGCTGTGTCTGATCTCTGGCTGTTGTAGTTGTTGCAGTTTACACGCCTGGGGCAAAATCTCTCACTTCCCTCTCCCAAAAGGATAATAGTGATAATCACTGTCACTAGCACCATCGAGGGATGCAGTGTGATGGCCACAACCAGACACACCTCTCGGAGGTTTTGTTTCAGAAATTACATACCCCACTGGGCCAGGATGAGGTCCCACGGATGCAAAGGTAGCAGTGGGACCAGAATAGCCCTCTGTGACTCGACACAGTGAACAGGATCCTCGTGGTGGGGACCCCCACACACCAGAACCACTGGAGGCATATTTACTTCCTGATTCACAAAGAAGGAAGTGAATTAGGACAGAACAAAGTCCCCAGCCCCAGAACACATCATCCCACAGGCAACGACATTATGTTGTCCGAAGCTCCTGCCATCATCCTGGCCAAGCCTGATCTCTAGCTTTAAATACACAAATCCAGTCACACTAAGATTGTAAACAGCCACACCAATGACCCCCATCACCGCAGGAATATCAGCCGAGATGAGCAGCCGGCATTTAGCTCTGTGCGCCTATCCCACAGACACATGCACCCTAAACGTTGTTCCTTAAGTTTAGAAATACGTGACACGAAAAGACAAAATGCTCACATGACCATCTCTCCTCCGCGTCTTGGATGGGGGGCTCACGCGAGGTAGCAGCTCTGAGTCCCCGCTCCAGAGAGGTCTTCTGCTTAAGGAGGCAACATTTTCCCCCACCAAATAGCGTCTGGGTCCCACGGCTGCCGATATATCTGTGTTCCTCGTCCAGAAATGCACATAAAGTTTCCTGTCTCGGCACACGGTCCCCCCAGTGTCTTTTCTGTCAGACGAACTACACGTCCACGAGACTCTCAGAGAGGCCGAGCCCGTGAAGCAGCCAGGGAGGGACAGAAAAAGAGAAGGAAAACAGCCACGGGCAGACCCAGTAGAAGAAGAAAGCCTCAGTCCAACAGAGCAGCTTTAAAAAGCCATCCCCAGACCTGCTTTTCCTGCAAAGAACGCCTTCATCTTAGAAATTAACTCTGCTCGCGCGCCCTCTCCCTGTCTCGGTCCAAGGGGAAAAGCCAAGCACTTGGATGTCTGCCTTTGTCAGCGAAAGAGCATAACACGGACTTACCTTTCCCCACAGCTATTGTCTGTCCTCCTTCAAAATGACATCACGGAAAGCAATCATGAAATTTACATGGGGGGTGCAGGGTGGACGGGGGAGGAGAGGGGAGGCAGCTGCCTCCCTTACAGCGGTCACATGTGGGGAAGCCTGTGTGCGGGTTTCAATTAAATATCTTCTCCCCTTAGTGTGCGACTCCTAAGCCAGCTAAAGGCGACGTCTCATTTACTTAATGACCGCTCTCATTAGCAGCGGTGGCACGGGCTGGCGGAGAGGCTCCTTTGTAAATACGCTACCCATGAACCCTTGGGGCTCCAATATATCTGTTTACTCTCCGAGGTGAAATAAATTTACAGTATAGCATCAGAAAGATGGGTCTGCTGACTTGGAAAGTGAGAGGTGCCCCGGCCAGCAGAGCCCCTGTCTCCTGCTCCGAGCTTCAGCCCACAGAAGGTGGCTGTGTTTGCCCACACCGAATCATAATTAATATGCAGCATGATTGGTGTTTTTTTATGCCAGACACACAGAAGGGCAGAGAGCGTCACCACCGCCATACTCACCCCACCCCCGTGCTGTCTCCACCAGTGGTTCAGTCCAATAATTCCTAATAGCAGCAACCGGAATGACAGATGCCCTGGGTTAGCACGGCTGCAGCGAAAGTACTTTACAATATTTATTGGTGGTTAGGAATATGACCCACCATCATAAAGAACGGACTGCAGAATTTATTACTCAGACGAAAGGGAGGGGTGCTCCGTGGCTCATCTGCGTGTTCAAGAATCACTGACTTCAAAGGACAAGCATATATTTTTTACAATTCGTAAAAGATGCTCATGGCCACAGACCCAAAGCTGAAGTCACACACACGGAGAAGAGATCAGGAAAAAGATCTTTTATCACACACTCTCTTTTTGGCTTAAGATTTAAAATAATAAAACCCTCTCAATGAGGCCCTGGACACAAGTCCTCTCTGTCCAAAACCTCTAAGTTAGTGTATCCCAGCCAGAGGGAAACACAGGGCTCAGAATCTCGGCTCTGGCTTTTCAGTCTTTCTGAACTGCCTGTGAGGGGCCACCCAATGAAAATCGAGAGGAGGAGAAGGCATCACGCACACAATCGAACTGCCCACCTACACTTCAAGCAGCCGGATTGTTTTCTACTCTCAGGGATAAATGTAGGACCGTCCGGCAAGAGTACCTAGGAGCCAGGGAATTCTTACTCTCTCTCCAAACTTCCTTTTCTTCCTGATAGGTCAGGCAAACGAGTGTCTGTGATCGTCTTCAGGCTGTCAGAAACTGTACCGTGAGACAGGACACAGGCTGGGTTTTGGACGCCCGTGATGAGCGGCTGTCTGGGACCAGCGCAGAAGAAGGCCAGTACCGCAAAGCTCAGGGCAGAGATTTCAACACAGTAAATATCCCTTCCTGTCATGTTATCCAGGCACACGAGCCCCCCAACTGAATCAACCAAACGGCTCAGGCCACCAGAAGCATGAATTAGGCTTAAAATATATAGCTTCCTCTAAGAAAACATGTTTTGGAAAAATCAGCTGAAACTCTTCCACAAGCAACAATTTCCAACATGCAGTACTGCAGCCCACATTTGATGTAACCCACGAGCTTCGTTCCAGGGCCAAGTATGCTCAGCTCTTTACATACACACACATTCTTCTCAACACACGAAATGCACAATGTGCTCAGGGCAATGTTGTAGATTGAGTAAAAGGAAATAAACACAGGCGTTCACTGGTCAAACTGAGGATGAAATATTAATTAGCCAAATGAGAACTGTTTGAGGCTCCTACAATGACTGCCTACTGTTGTTTTTATTCTTTTGTGAGCTCATATCCATTAGCATAGAAGGACATATTCAGTTGAGAGCTCTCCTGAAAAGCCCTTTTCTGTCTCCTCTGGACACACTGTGAGTGCTGGGATATTTTACATCCCAAACCTTTGGCATTCAGAAATTCTATTAAATTCTTATCGGCAGGCTGCAGGCTGAGGCAGCCTTGCACGCCATTGTTCCGCGAGGAAGATAGAATCAAAGGGAGGGCCCGTGCTGAATCAGCCGTATTCCACAACAATGCCCAGTGTTTCATGAAAGTATTTAATTCAGCTACGTGACAGTCAAACTTAGGGGACAACTAGCAGGAGCGACAGCAGGGAGAGATCAGTATATGGACAACACACAGCCCTGCTCCACATAATTTGTTTTCCAGGTAACATAAATCCTATTTGTGCAAACCTCTGCCTCTCAGCCTTGCACACCTCCCCCACGGAGCAAGCAGAGCGTCCTGGGGAGTGTCGCTCCAGTGGTCGGGGTCGGGCACCTGAGGCTACTTGGGTGAGCATTTCTAAGCGTGCTTGGAAATTTCAAATAGGTGCCTGTTCTAAGAACCCGGAAAGAAGTCCCAGGAACTCCCACTGGGAGGTTGCAGTTGAATGAGCCGTTTCAGAAGATGGGTTTTGATGAGTAAAGGTTCAAGATCTTTAGCCGACTCCATCTAGAGAACAAAGAGGGGTCCTAGGTGCGGAGCAGGGAAGGGACTGTGCCGGCAGCTCCCCGGGGTCTGGCTGCTGGCTCCAGCCGGAGCGGTGGGTGCGGAACGCGCCTCCATCTGATCAGCACTTTGGACAGCGCTCCCTCCCCCGGAGCCCGGCCCTTTGTTCTCCGCACACTGACGTCTTGTCAGGACTCCGGGCTGGGAGAAGCAGTTTCCGACCCCGGCTCCCACCCACGCCGGCGAGGAACAACTACAAGGTGTGACCGAAAACTTTCTGATACAGGGTGAAAAGCTGTCGGGATTTTTTCAGTCATAAAATGTTTTCTTTTCTGTAACTGAGGAGTATACTGTTCCTTTAAGCTTTATTTCATAAAAATCTGTGGGCAAGTTGCATGTGACTTTTACATTTGGGAGACACACAGGGAAACAACCTCAGTCTGACCGGAGGGTCCCCCGAGCCCTGTACAGGGAGAGAAGAGGGAGATTTGCAAAGCCAGACTTGTGGCTGCCGCACTTGCTGAGGAAGTGCTTTGTGGGACTTGGGCGAGGCGGGCTCAATGATTGCTTTGCTGGTAAGGTCATTCCAAGCAAAATGTAATTACTTGTGCAAATCTGAACACAGACATTCCAAGTGTCAGTTCATTTGCTTCATAAAAACTCTTTCAAGTAATTTTGGTCTAAACTTTCTGCATCTGTAATTGGCGCCTTCTCCGGTGACCAGCTGGGGGTGAGAGTTTTCTTGTTTCCTTCTGAAAGCTTCCCTGCAGATGGGCGCCCGCCTTAAAGCTGCAGACGACAATTAGGGCCGTTGTGTGTGGAGCCGAGATGGTCAGCATTAATATTGTATAGAAACAGCTGAGGGCGGGGGCCGCTGCCCCAGGCAGGCTCTGGCAGATGGAGCAAACAAAACCGAGAGCCACTCTTACCAACACCCTGGGCTGACTCTGTGCCTGTCTCACACTCGCTGGGCTGTGAGCCTCTCTCACACACACACACGCACAGGCACACTCTCTGGGCCATATTGAGGGGTGGTTTTATGCTGCGACATCAAACATTCCGACCTTCTGACACTGTGTGAACACGCAGACTCAGACGCACGTGTTTGGGAGTGTGCTGTGGGGCTCGCACACTGACTGCTGCCCTTAGCATTGCAAACACGGACACACACGCACGGCAGCTCTGCGTGTGCAGGGAACACAAACAGCGGTAGTCCCTGTCACAGCCTCTTTGTGAGAGCAAGTCTCAGGTGGACCAGGTCCCACACAAGCCTCCTTCCCGCCCCTCCTTCCCCGGGACCTCAAGGCCTCAGGGCACATACAGCTTCACCCACTGTCCTCACCTTCGACCTTTGAAGGCAAGCCCACAAACAGGGCAGCGAGGCGTCGGGCCAGAGACCCTGGCCTCGCTCCGAAGGGGGCACTGTCTATCACCTCCTCAGCTGCCAGAAAAGAACACTGAGCGCTGACGGCCACCCAGCTAATTAGTCCCCTCGGTGTCCTGGCAGAAATGTGTGAGCAGGCCCAGGGAGGGGTGTGCAGGGCTGGGGAAAAGTACGCACCCAGGAAGGTTCCGCAGAGCGTCATCCTGGCTGGGCGGGCACACCTTCGCTCCGAAGCCTGGACACACAGTCACACCATGCTGGGAAAAGTTGCTCCACAAACTTCTGTGTCCCCGGGCCCTGGGCAGCCTCCTTCGCATCCAGCCAATGAGGGCCGAGGAGCAGATACAAACGCGAGCCCTGCCAATGAGGCTCCCTTCCACACACAATGGCCTGGAGACCCCCCGGACAATGAGCCCCTCCTGCAGGTGGGGAAAGGCGTAGCCTCCTCTCGCTGGGGCCCAAACCAATGAGGGGGAGGGGCTCTCCCCAAAGATGCTTCCTCCTCCTCCCCCTCCCACTTTCCCCCACCCCCTGGATTCTTTCTCCCCTCCTCCCACCTCCCCTCCCCCCTCCCACTTTCCCTTCTCTTTGCTGCTCTCCAGACAAAGTCAGGCCAGTCTGACTGGTGGGCGACCGGTCTAGATGGGGTGGGGTGGGGTGGGATCAGCTCTGGGGAGTCCTTGCCTCTCCCTAACGCTAAGGCTGCCGAGGGGACGGACCCGTGTTCCTGAACTACGGACGACCCACCACCCAGGCCGGGAGGCTTGGGGCAGGGGTGGGGGAAGGTGAAGGGAGGTGCTGGGACTAAGTGCCTCGAACTTGGAAGGTGAAGAGGTATGGGACTTGCAGGGACAGGGGAAGAATCTGGCTTCAGACCTCCAGCTGCTCCCCAGGAGGACAGGGGTCGAGGGTCGGGGGGAGGGCGAGAGGGGAGGGTGGGGGTGGGGGGTAGAGGAGGCCTCTCTTGCCTCATTCCATGTCCATGACTCTTCTCTGCTCAGCAGTGCCCTTCGGGAAGATGAGCGGACCTGGCTGGACACTCCCGGCTTCGAGCCTAGCCATCCCCTACACCAGGCTTCCCTGATGCTGGGAGGAAGCTCCCCTCACCCCCAGAAGAGGCCCCCATCCCACCCTCGGCTCT